AACAGGACCTAGAAGAAACTGCTTTGGTGAGGAGCATAGTTTCTCTGTAGCTCTAAGGGCAACCTGGCCTCCAAGTTCGAGAGTTTGCTTATTTATTCCTAACTCACCAAGAAAAAAAGTCCAATTTCAGCTAGTACCACAAGGGGGAGCTAAGTCTTAAAAAGCCTAGATAAGCTTCTAGACATTAAATGTCTCATTTAAAGCATGGCTCTCTTAGAAAGATTTGAAAAAATATTCTGCCATAAGTGACTCTTTCTAAGAAACAGACCCAAAAACCCCTTTCCTGCTTAAAATCTTCCAAGGATCTCTGCCAACAATGATCTGACCACTCACCATGGCACACAATTTTCTGACTTCTCCTACGTCCCTCCAACAGACCTTCCCCCTCTTAGCTCCATACTTTTTAATTTGTATTTTTTCTGAGACAGGGTCTTGCTCTGTTGTCCAGGCTGGAGTGTGTTGGTACAGTCTCCCGCTAACTGCAACCTCTGCCTCCTGGGCTCAAGCAATTCCCCTGCCTCAGCCTCCCAAGTAGCTGGGATTACAGGTGCACACCACTATGCCCAGCTAATCTTAACTCCACACTTTAACAGCACCCACTGGTCAAGAACAGTGGCTCACCCCTGTAATCCCAGCACTTTGGGAGACCATGGTTGACGGCTCCCATGGGCTAAGGACTTCAAGGCCAGCCTGGGCAACACTGCGGAACCCCACCTCTACTAAAAATACAAAAAAAAAAAAAAAAAGCCAGGCGTGGTGGTGCACACTTGTGATCCCAGCCACTAAGTGGACTGAGGCAGGAGGATCACTTGAGCCCAGGAGGCAGAGGTTGCAGTGAGCTGATATCACGCCACTGTACTCCAACCTGGACGACATAACAAAATCCTGTCTCAAAAAAAAGAAAAGGAAAAAAAGAAAGAAAACACCAACTACTCATGTTTCCCTGGCTTCCCCAAATAACCCTTCCTTCATGCCTTCACTTCTCTGAATGTGTTATTTCTTCTGCCTGACTGCATGCTGCCCGCCCCCCTGCCCATCTCCCTCCCCAGCCCTTCTATTTGACAACTCCAAGTCAAGCTCCCATCTGTCTTTTGACTGTGCTTAAAGCATCTCTCAGCAAACTTCTGGCCTTTCGTATCGCTCTCCCACCACAGTGAACCAATTTATGCCACAGATTGTGCTACCATCAGGTAAATACTTCTCTTCCTGCTCATTATCATAGTACATTTCAAGTGAATGTCTTTCTTTCCTGGCTAGACTGAAAAGGATCCTGAAGAGAAGAAACACATTTGACAGAAGTGCCTGTGCCCAGCTCTGGCATGCAGTAAAGCCTCCTCAAGCGCGGAACTAAGAGCCCATTAAAGCCACACACCTGTGGTTCATTTCAGGATCTCTCTTCACAGGATCAGGAGTCATCTTCATAAACACATTTTAAGTCATTCACCTCATGCTCAAAATCAACTTAGAAACTGTAATAATCAACATTTTAGCTAAAAAAAAAAAAGCCCTATGTGTCAAACTTACCAACTTAGTTAAATAAAACGCGAATGAACAGATTAGAAGGATTGCCTTTTCCAAAGGTGTGACGCTTGCAGGCTCTTCGGCAACCATCTCTAGTTGCTTGATTGCTTCAACACCATCCATAGGAGAGTCTTCTGTTGTAATTGGCCCTAGAACAGGGAGGAAAAAGATATTTTGTGCTTTAGAATAAGAATTGTTTCTCATTTTAAAAAAATACTTATTGAGTATCAACTAAATGTTAGGCACTGTGCCTGGAAAGTAAACTTTCCCATCTCTCACCTGATGTTTCCCATGCACTATGGTGAAATACTCGTTGTGTCAGTCTGCCCTGGACTATTACACACTTCAATGGCCATACTGTCTCCTATAAGCTTATGGTATAAACATACCTGGACCCCTTCCCTGTATTTTAAGAAGTTTTATTTACCATGTCCAGATAGCAAATAAAAAAAAAGTACTGCATTGCACTGTACTGTATTTGGAAAGAGAGGGGGTAAAGTAGAAGGAAAACAGAATTTGTGAGTTTTAGAGCAGTGGTTCTCCAACCACTGCTAATTTGCATCAGGTCGGTCTTTCCTGGAGGGATAATCAATCAGTATTTTGTTAAGCACAGACTGCTGGTCCCACCCCCAGAGTTTCTGATGCTGTTGGTCTGGTTGAAAACTACTGTTTTAGAGCATGGGGCCTTTGAAGAATAATATTTTAGATTGAAATAATTTACACAAGATAGTGGCAGCCAAACACTGGTTTGTAGGTTAGTTACAGTCTCTGGTGTCTTTCCTATTTCTGATCTCCATCTGTCTTAACGCCTGCTTTTCTCTCAGTAAGATCTGGGATCCGCTTTTCCTTTGAGTTTAACATGTCTCTAGCTACTACCTCTGACAATGAATCTCCTAGAAGGCCTTCTTTATGATGTTGCCACTTCGTAGAAAAAAATTAGCAAGCTTTACCTGGGTCCAAGTCTTTCTCAGTATTTGGCTTTGGTGACACTTCTGAGGCATGAGTGTCCCTCATCACAGGTTGGTCCAAGTGGGTGGGCTCTTCAGGAACCTGCACATTCAGTTCTGTTGTGTTCTCTTGTGACACATTATCTTCATGCGGCAGTTGCATCTCTGCAGGTGAGAAGAATGCATTGGGTTAGCACAGCTCTATGACACTACGTGTTTGGCTAATCCCACTGACCATACCAGCTCCAGGGCGCCTCCACATTGCCCTCCATACACAGGCATCCCATGAAGCACAACTGGGCAGGGAAATAAGAGTTTCAGTTTCTTTTATTCCATTTAAAGGATGACTAATCTACATAATAAAATCTGCAGAGGAGTATTTCATAAATAAATATATTTATGGTAGGGACTTCAGTAACATCTTTCCTTGGCAAACTAACCTATGCCCACACAAATAAATGTGCAAAAGAGAATTCCACTTAAGAGCAGAAATGTGAAACATCTCTTCTGCAGAGAAGTAACATGAACTCTTGCATACAAAAGCATGCAAGAAAGAGTACAGACAGGGACATTCCACGGCAGGGCAGCTTGCTGAAATGCCTTTTGAATATTTTCAAAGTACCTCTAAGAGTCAAAGAAAGTGAACCCATCTCCTTCCCTAAGAGGCTCAGGGGACAGTCCAATGTGATCCAGAGCAAAGGTGAATTTCTTTGTAACCTCCTATTTTACCCTGAAAATTCACCTGAATTTTGCATTCTCATCCAAAATATATATCTTAATTAAATGCAAAAAGAGTTCTCCTCCCCCAACTCTCAGGAAAAATTAGCACTCTGGGGAAATACATTTGCCTTTGGCTTTCTGTCCCCCTGGTACTCTTGATTCAGATGCATCTGTCTGAAAAGCCTGGATACACCAGGTGCGGTAGCTCACACCCGTAATCTCAGTACTCTGAGATGCCAAAGTAGGAGAGTCACTTGAGGCCAAACGGGCAAGATTGGCCTGGGCAACATATCGAGACCCTGTCTTTACAATAAATAAAAAATTAGTTGGGTACAGTGATGCATGCCTGTAGTTCTAGCCACTTAGGAGGCTGAGGTGGGAGGTTCTCTTGAGCCTAGGAGTTGGAAGCTGCAATGAGCTATGATCATGCCACTACACTGCAGCCTGGGTGACAGAGTGATATCCTGTCTCAAGAAAAAAAAGAAAGAGAAAGAGGAAGGAAGGGAGGGTGGCTAGGAAAAGGGAAAGAAAAGAAAGAGAAAAACCTGGATGCAGAGAATAGAACAAGGAACTAGAAATCAGAACACTTATGTCAAGATATTGGCTCGGAGTCAATTCAACTGAATGGTTTCCATGCATCAAGTGCTGCATTAGAAGGCTTCCCATCCCTATCCTAACCTTGATTAATCTGAATGCAAGAACCTTAGGGTCCAGAAGGGTTTAACTGGAATAAGTGCTTCTAAAAAAAAAACAGGAAGAACAAGCCATCCACAAAAGATAAAACTGGAGAGAACATAGGAATTCAGCCAAGGCATTGATCTAAAAGCTATACCAGTCAATCCATGGTTAGAGAGCAGTTATCTTATGATTGAAAAACTGTTTTCAGTAAAATCCTTCCATAATTTTACATGACATCTGTATTTTGTACATTACTTTCTGGTTTATATCTTTCTCTTTAGCTTTTTATAAAGTTTCCTTTTGAAAATGCTAACCAGTCTCAACTATTCCAAGAGAAACAGCAAGAAATCCTCCTCCATGCTCCAGCCTAAAAGAAGGCAGGAAGGAATATGTGGGCCTCCCTGTGTCGTCCCTCCTTTAGGCACACTGGAAACTCAACAGAGCTTGACAAGTCAGATACAAGGCACCTCAGCGAACCCTGCTCCACCTGCTTCTCCAGCCCAATTCTACAAGGCCATAGGTATCTCACCTTCCATTGCTCCACCCAAGCCTTCATCTATAGGTGGTGCCATCACCAGTATGGCTGTCTCCTCTGCTGTGGAGTGCTTGTACCTAACAAAATAGATGAGGTCTTGAATGTCATCAAGCACTGCGGCCTCTTCAAATATGTTATTTTCCTTTACTCCCAGATCTCTATTTTCAGCCACACGAGTATCAAGCATTTTTTCTGCTATGCTCAGAATTTGTGACTCAGAAGCACGGAAGACCTTATCTAGGACCTTTTCCACATTATAGGGTAGGCTCTCCTGCTGTGCTGACTTCAGTTTTGATGACATTTCTTGTAGCAAGGATTCTAGCTCATGAACATTAAAGTACTTCTGGAACCGCTGCAAAGACTGCTGTTCTTTAAAGAAGCTGCTTCTGATAGGCAAGTCCTCCCTCTTGTCACTATTCTCTGGCTCTACAGTTGTATGGGGAGTCCAATGGAACAAGTCATCTTCAAGGTCTGCAGCAGCAGACCCCTGGCTTCCTGTGCCCATGTGTTTCTCTGTGTTCTCATGGTCCTCCTTTGAGAGTTCTCCCTCAGGCTTCTCTGCAAGCCCTGAGGCCTTCAGATGTTCCTCAGGTTTGTTGATCTTCAGATAATCAGAATCTTTATTCTGAAACACTTCACCTAACTCTGGAGTCTGAGTTTTCATGCTATCAGAAAAGTCACTTCCTTCAGATGGTCGGTGTGCTTTCTCATCTGCTGGAGGGCGTTCTTTTACCACCATTGTATATGGTTCCCTGCCTCCTGTGTTGACTCCTTTGGCTGCAGTCTCATGTTTTTTTTCACTATCCAAAATCTTACCAGTTTCTTGCTTGCTTTCTTCAATTTCTGGGTCAGGATTAGTGGTCCCTAAAACTGCTCTTTCAGGGACTTGCAGATTAACATCAAACTGCCTGCCCTGAATTCCAGGGTTTTCTTCTTTAGACCGTTTTGCACTTACAGCATTTTCATCCTCCAGTAGTTCTTCAGGGGGATAATCATCCTCTTCTGCTTCTGAAAGGAAAGCTGGTTCTCCTGTGCTGTCAGATTGGTCTGTCTGTCCTACTTCCTGGGTACCCTGCATTGCCTTGTGATGAAAAACCTCTTCATCCAAGGAGTACTCTTTGGCTTCGCCCTCAGAGAGTCTTATCTTCTCACTTATTTGCTTATTGACTGTGGCAGCCACATCTCTCTCTTGTTGCCAAGAAAGATTTCTTCCCAGGATGGGAACCTTTTCTTCCAGTTCTCTGGGCAAACTGATCTCATCTGGAGAGGAGAATCTAGGTTGGTTTTGAGTTTTAAGAACTAGTTCCTCTTTAAATTCCTCACATTGATTCTCCACTGGAAGCGTGTGTGGTTTGGCTCCATTTACTGAAGGGTCTCCCTCCACACTGTCTCTGGATACATTAGGGTGGTTATCTCCCGTGACTGGTGCAGTACCCAAGGATTCCTGTTGAATCTTTCTGGCATTCATTCCGTTCCCTGCAGCTTTCTGTGCAGATTCACTCTCTGAGCCACCTTCCAAAATCTGCTCTCCAAGATTTTCTTCGTGGGGCATTCCTTTCAAGATATGAATAGCTGCTCCTTTTAGGTCACTTTCTTCATCGTCGAAGGCTGATTTTAATGCCTCTTTGCCCTTTTCATCAGCTGGCATAGAGTTGAGGTTATTGCTGTGAGTAGGGCTGTGCACAGTCATCCCTTCTTGCTTTTCATCCTCTAATTCTGTCTCATCTTGTACCAGGCCCTTCTTGGATTCCTGAACTTCCTGCCCTTTTCCTTTAATGTGACATTCTGTGTTTACTTCTGGGCCTTTGTCATTATTCGTTTTAGGGATGTCTGCAATCAAAAGACCGTCATCTACATTGTCAGGGTCACTATAATCTGTTGCGGACTGTAGTTTCCCCTGTTTGCTCTCTGGGACTAATGCATCATCATCTTTTTCTTCCTCTGAATTAGAGCTCTCTAAGCCCAGTGTATCTGTTTTTTCTTCACCTCCTGTGACAAGAGAAAAGATAGTATCCCCCCAGGTTGTTAGTATATTTTTATCATCATTTTTGATGCCAGGGCGCACAGTTAGCTCAACTTTATCCTCTTCATTTGAATTCTGCTCTTTATCTGTTGAATATTTCTCAACTCCAGACTTTGCTGGAGTTTTGATATCTTCCCCATCTGTAAAGGTGAGTAATGGCAGCTTATCAAAGTCTTCTTGGTTCTCCTCATCTTCTTTCCCAACTGCATAATACTCAGCATCCAAATCCTCATCAAAATCATCTTCTAATGAAGTAACAAGTTGGGTTGCCTCATCATCAGATACAAGTGCATCAGCTGTTGAGCCAAATTTGGTTTTCAAGTCTAGAGTCATTTCTTTTTTCAAAAGTTTATAGGCATCAATCTTATCCTGTTCATTTGAGACCTGAGAGCCATTGCTGGTTTTGTTGTTTTCACTTTCTGGCACTTTTGGTTTATCTTGCAGCATTTCTTCAAAAGCTTCAAATGAAGGCTGCTCTCCCTGAGCATGATCTGCTTGGCTGTTTGTATGGGGGTGGTGCTTCTGAGCTGTAAACTGTTCCTGAAGATCCTTTGCCTTTTCTGAGAATACTCTGTCATTTTCCTCTGAGTAGGCTTCCACTGGTTCAGGCTCAGGTTCCCTTTCCTTAGATAATTCAGGGGTTTTTTCCAAATCTTGTGACATTTTTTCTACAGCTTTCTCAGAATCTCTAGTTGCAGAATCGTACAGTTCCAAGAACCCTAAAAGTTCTTCTACATTATAATTATCAAAATCATCTCTTCCTCCATCAAAACAAACAAAATCCGTCTCCTGCAAGAAAAAAAAATTAGTGTATCACTAATCAAGTGTCACAAGAGCAAACTCTTATCCATGTTAATGACTGAGATAATCCCAAATTCACATTTGGCTCTAAAGGAGATTTTGCGCCAATGTTGGGCACCTGTTCTTGGGCAGTGGGTGGATAGGAGGCTGGAACCCACTTTCCCATCTGAGTAATACTCCTGGCTTCCCTTCATTCTCTCTTCCCCGGGGGAGGAATGATTCATGTGGTTGGTGAGTTTGCTCAGTCCCATTCCTGTTTTCTGGTTGGGACCTGCTGGAGAGAAAACACACATTCTGTTCCTCCACGCTGTCGGTTTTACAGGGACAGTCCCCCTTGGGGAGACCCCTAGTTGGGTAGCTCTGTTTGTGACTGGGTAAGTCCATCTTAATTTAGACTATAATGTTAGAAAGCCCATTATTTCTGCATACTCCAAACAGCTTTATCAGTAAATAATGGGGTCATTTTGATCTTCTATGTGCCCAAATTCTGGGTCTCTCAACTTGTTTTGAGCACAGGTGGGGAAAAGTGAGGTGTCATTTACTGGGTTCCCCAACTCCCAACATATATGCCTGATGTTCTGGGAATTCACCTCATAATAACCCATCTAGAAGGAGCTAAAAGACCATCAGCTTCTCTACATTGTGCCCTACGTGCCATACTTCTCTGCTCATCCAGTCAGAAACAGGCAGAATCACCTGGCTGTTAGGCTCCTAGTCTACAGGGATCTGGGGATCATATTTTCCTTGGATTGAGAAAGATAAATCAGCTTCAGAAGGAACTTACTGAGATAGAGGTGTATGAGATGTAAAAATGTAAGAGAACAAATAATGGTGTAAAGGGGGCTCCCCATTTTGTTACTGTCACAAGAACAACTTCTGGGGGAGACCTGTCCAGTATACTAGAGATGAATGATTTCCCTCTTTCCATCATGCCCACTTCTGAGCCAATTGTTTTTAATATGAAGGGAATCATGCAATTACTATACAGAATCCAAAACAGGTCAGGTCTCTGTGACCAGTGAATTGCTGTCTCACAGTCATATGCTGAGCAGTCTCTTCAGCAGGAGTGAAGTCAAACAGGCAATAGGACTGACTATGTAACCCCTGAGGGCATCCAGAAATTTTAAGCATAGTGATAGCTCTGTGACTTCATTCTGCCAATCTCATCTAAGAACTGCCCTAGCCCAGCATCTTGCATGCTCTGCAGTAACCCCAAAGAGCTATTCAGACTTCTGAATGTAAACAGGCATCAATTACTATAAATTCTAAAACTCAGAAAATAATCAGATGGGGCCAGGCACAGTGTTATAGATATATTATGCAGCCCATAATCCTAGCACTTTGGGAGGCCAAGGCAGGTGGATCACTTGAGGTCAGGAGTTCGAGACCAGCCTGGCCAATACGGTGAAACCACATCTCTACTAAAAATACAAAAAATTCACCGGGTGTGGTGGCGGGCCTGTAATCCCAGCTACTCAGGGGCTGAGGTAGGAGAATTACTTGAACCTTGGAGGCAGAGGCTGCAGTGAGCTGAGACTGCACCACTGTACTCCAGACTGGGCAGCAGAGCAAGACTCCATCTCAAAAAAATAATAATCAGATGGAATGTAGATTCTAGAAAACAAAATCCTTTCAGTACAAAACCATTGTGCACCATAGATAAATGCTTTATAGAATGTGTAGTCAGTGCCTTAGAGATTTGAGACTGGACCTTACCTGAAACTCTCAGGTTCCCTTTCCCAAATCTATAGCCAAAATTCCTTAAATCACTAAAGAGTCAATAATAAGAAAACCTTTATAAGTTTGCATTTCTGGCTCAGTATAAAATTAGAGATTGATTAATTTAACCTGATTTCTATATCCTTAACATGTCTAACAGCTATCCAATAAATAGTTTTCAAATTGGGATACAGCTTCTCCTTTTGCTCATAAAATGAAGTTATTTGCCTTCTAACATTAATAAGTAAATATAAAACTATTGAATTCCTAGTTTTTCACATATAAAGCAGCAAAGAAAAGCCTTGTATAAGAGTACACAGCCTTATATAAGAACATCTATTTCAATATATTAGATAACTATCACATTATGATAAAATCTCATTTAAATTCTTTGGAAACTTTTCTTTCTTTTTTTCTAGGTAGTCACTTATAAGCCAACTTATAACTGAGAACAAGGCAGAAACCACAACTTACATCTGTTGGAACTTGTAGCTCTTCTTTGGTATATTCATGAACTACCTGGATTAAATCTTTTGGAAAATATCCAAAAAGGCGCCCAACCTATAGAAAAGAATGGGCAGAAGGGACAAATATCAATCAAATTCTGTATGAGAAATATAAACAAGAGACTTCTTAGTAGTGTAGAAAATATACAAATATATAGGTAAGTAGATATAACTAAGAGAGGTAGATAGTTGCTGTTATAATTACACCAAGATTATTACTTATTACTCTCAAAATTTATGTACAGAAAATTGTTAAGCAACGTTTCTAAAACTGTGGAATTTTTTTTTTATTACATTCGGCTTAATTCTAAACGCACGACATTTAAAGTTAGTGTTTAGAAGTAGATAAAAGATCTGTGTAAGGGAATATTATTGTATATTTTATATGATTAAAACTATGCATAGCAAAGCTGGTTATAAACACAATTCCAAATAACCCCTAGCAAAAATGTAGCTGCACATTTCATAGCATTGGTCATAACCCAGGACTTATAAGTATTTCTTAAACAATAAACAACAGCCATGTCATAAGTAAAAAGAATACAAAGTTTCTAAAATACATGACCACTACAACAAAAGGCAAATACAGCTGACCCTTAAACAATACAGGTGTTAGAAGCACAGTCAAAAATCTGCATATAACTTCTGACTCCACAAAAACTTAACTATGAATAGGCTACTATTGACCAGAAGCCTTACCAATAACATAAACGGTCAATTAATACATATTTTACATGTTATCGGTATATGTTTTATTCTTACAGTAGAGTAAGCTAGAGAAAAGAAAAGGTTATTAAGGCCAGGAATCGTGGATCATGCCTGTAATCACACTGGGCAGAGGAAGGAAGATCACTTAAGTTCAGGAGTTCAAGACCAGCCTGGTGACATTGTGAGATCCTGTCTCTACAAAATTTTTTTTAAAAAAACTAGCTGAGCACAGTGCCATGCACCTGTAGTCCCAACTACTGGGGAGGCTGAGGTGGGAGGATGATTTGAGCCCAGGAGATTCAGGCTGCAGTGAGGCTTCAGTGAGCCATGATGGCACCACTGCACTTGAGCCTGGGTGATAAAGTATTAAGAAAATCGAAAGACATAGAAAACATATTTACTATTCATCATTAAGTGGAAGTGGATAATCATCCTCATCATCTTCATACTGGGTAGGCTGAAGCAGAGGAAGAAGAGGAGGGGTTGGTCCTGCTGTTTCAGCAGTAGTAGCAGAGGCAGAGGAGGTAGAAGAGGAGGCACACACACTTGACGTAACTTTATGGAAGTGCAATGTAATTTCTGTCTAGCTTCTTTTGCTTTTTCATTTCTCTAAAAATGTTTCTAGATGGTACCAATTCTTATTCTACTGTTTGCTTTATTTTCAGTGCCCATATCAGACATTGGTCCATGTTATAACAGAAGTTAACAGCAGTCTTTAATAACTGAAACCCTTCTATCAGACTGTCTGATACTGACTTGTTTTCTGGCCTTTATGTCTTCTTCCTCACTGTCTGGCACTAGTTTTGAAACACCCATTTCCATCAGGTTGTCTCCTGCTAATTCCTCTGGTGTGGTGTCTATTAGCTCTTGAATTTCTCCAAGATCCATATCTTGAAACCCTTCAGCCTCACCTTTTTTGCCATATCCACGATCTGTTCCATGATTTCCTTGACTGATTGTATCATAAATCCTGTGAAATCAAGCACAACGTCTGGATACAGTTTTCTCCAGTAGTAATTTATTTTTTAGGGCTTGATGGCTTTCACAGCCTTTTCTATAACAATGATGGCATCTTCAATGACATAATCCTACCAGAATTGCATGATGTTCTTTCTATTAGCATTCTCTTCCAAAGTGTTGACAATCCTTTCCACAAAGTATGGTGTGTAACGAGTCTTAAAGTTCCTCATGACCTCCTAATCTAGAGGCTGAATTAGAGATGCTGTATTTAGGGCAAGTAGACCACTTCAACTCCATTGGTATTGAACTCACAAGGTTGTGGATGGCTGGGGGCATTGTCCGATATCAAAAGAACTTTAAAAAGCAGTTCCTTACTAGCAAATTACTTCCTAACTTCAGGGACAAAGCATTGATGGAATCAGTCCAGAAGAAGGGTTCTCATTGTCCAGACCTTCTTATTGTATATCCAAGACTGGCAGCTGGTATTCAATTTTCCCTTCAAGACTCAGGGGTTAGCAGATTTATAGATAAGGGCAGAAGGCAGTCCTGATCATAAACCCGACTGTATTTGCACGAAACAATGGAGTAGGCTTATCCCTTCCTCTTTTAAATCCTGGTGCTCACTTGTTTTCCTTATTAACAAATGTCCTTTATGAGTTTTTTTTCCCCCAAAATAGGGCACTTCTGTCAACATTAAAAACCTGTTCAGGCATATAGCCTCTGTCCTAAATGATTTTCTTAACGGTGTCTAGGAACTATTCTACTGCCTCCTGGTTGGCAGAAGGTACTTCCGCTGTTGGTTTGACTTTCTTTAAGCCAAACCACTTTCTAAAATTATCAAACCATCCTTTGCTGGCATTAAATTCTCCAGTGTTAGACCCTTCACTTTCCTTTTGCTTTGTTATACAATGCTTTGCTTTGACTTAAATCACATTAGAATCTATAGGTATGCCTTTCTAACAGCAAGCCTATAACCCCATAAAAGCTGTATTTTTAATAGTACACAAAATGGTATTTTACAAAACAAAAAGTGTAAGATCTTCATGACTGCTGGCATAGCTGCAATAACAGCTTCAAGGATTTCCTTTTCTTTTTTTATAGTGGTCCTTATGGTAGATTTGTTAACCTTGCAACCACAGCTGCAAGCCTCAATCTGCGGCACCTATCAAGCAGTCCAACTGTTTCTTGTAATGTCATTACTTTTCTCTGCTGCTTGAGAGCACTTCCAACATCACTAGTGACACTCTGTATGGGTCTCAGAGTGTTATTCAAGGTTTACAGTATTGCACTAAACACAAAAACTACACGAGAACCACAAGAGATCACTTTTTAAGCACTCTACAATTTATTGGAGAGATGAATTGCTCACATGGAATAATTAGTGTCACATGGCATTTTAGGTGGATACTCACAATACTTGAGCTCACCAGAATAGCAACAGTAGGTGGTTATGAAATATTATAGTACAGCATGTAGTACAATTAATTTATGCAATTACAATTTAATATTTTATCTTTATGTTTTACATTTTTCTTGACTGCGAAAGGTGCCATGTAAGACCTGAGTTTGCGTGTGTATGTTTTGATAAATTTTAACTTTTTATATAGATTTGTGTATGTTTTATGGTAGTAAAGAATACACTAGGATCTACATATATTTTATATATTAATAACGTACCTTTTTCTTAATTCTTTCAATATTTCTAGGCTAGGCAGTCTGAGAGTTTTTTTCAAATTATCACAAACCTCCATGAAATTTTATAATACATTTATGGAAAGAAATCTGCATATAAGTGGGCCCACAGAGTTCAAACCTGTGTTGCCCTAGGATCAGCCGTATTTGCTGATATGATGTGTTATACTGTCATTTTCCAAAATGACATTACAGGTGTCTGGAAACAAAATAAAATTACAATGTAACACACAGTAATCTGCACACCAAGCTTTCGTTTCATGCAAACCAATATCTCTATAGGAAATAATTCCATTCATTTTTAGCACTAGTAGCTAAGGTATGTAAAATGTGCCCTCTTGAGAAACACACAGTCTTTTACTAGGCACTGTCTGAAAGGAAGAGGTAGATCTCCCAATCATTAAGGGAGGAGGCTGGCATGTAAATCAAATGCACAAAAAGAAAAAAAGGTCATCTTATCCCTAATTCATAAAACACTTCTATTGATGGGTGTTCTTGTTCTATCTGAAAACTATGTGGAAGCCAGTATTAGTAGTGAAATACTGCCATGAAGATTAGATAAGGGCAATTAAACTTTGTGTTATTGGCAGATCAAGTCTAAAATGCTAAGAAACCAAAAAAGACTGCAGAATGAAAACTAAGAAACAGAAACAAGAATCATTTTGGAAGCTGAAGAGTTTTTAATTTCCTAAGAAGAAGGTTCATCAACTTAGAGGGGAGACTATTTTATTAAGGGAGAACGTGGAAAAAGGAAACAAATCAGAGGTATGTAGAGAAAGGGAAACACTGTACATTTACCTTCCTTAATCTTTGTCAATTGAGACCACAGGTGGCATCTCATTTCTTATCATTTGACAAAAAAAAAAGTTGCAGAATTGTAGGCCCGCATGACAAGAAGTAATCTTTCTTCTGCCAAGGTACTGTTAATTTCATTTGTTGGGGGTGGGGGTAAGTAGAGTATTGCCTTAAGAGAACAAATTCTGGATAAGTTAATATCAGGATAAATATAAATAAATGTCATTGCCCCATAAGGAAATACTGAAAAGGAAGACAGATAAGGCATGAGCCCTTCCATTAAAGAGTTCATGACTTTTTGTGAGCTAAGACAGTACACAAATTAACTGCCATACAAAGCAGTAAAGTAAATGCCACATGAACAGTGCAAACAAAGTGCCACCCAAACAATTATCAGGCAGCAAAGATCCCTTCTGGCTGGGTGCGGAAGGCAGTTTTCCTTAAGAAGGCAGGATGAGAGCTGCGACCCAGAAAGACTGACAGGACATCCAGAGCTGAATACGTTCATAAGAAAAACTGCAGTGGGAGGAAAATGTTAAGTCAAGTTCATTCATCCAAATGCTCAAAGATGAGGAGTGGAAAAAAAAACTTAACTGTTCTAGGAAAAACTCAGCCTAGATACATGGAAAAACATTTCCAAGAGTAAAGACTACCAACAAATCTCCTTAGGCAGACTTGGAAAGAAAGAGAATAGATTTGTCTTGGTATGGAGTGAGTCACTTGGGATGCTCTCTAAATAGGATGAACCTGAACAGTTGTTGTTTCCCAAGATTATTCCCTGGGAACCTGAAATGCCAACAAAATGAGTCTGTTTTCCCAAGGGGATTTCTTAAGCCTATTTTCTGTTTGTTTGTTTGTTTTGTGTTTTATTGAGAGTGACAGCTTTCACAGTTGGGATGGGTATTTCTCTAAGTTGGGACAATCCTAAAGACATCGAGGACCCTTACTACTTGAAGTAAAGACACAGTCCACACATCACACTGTCTAAAAAGAAAAGGATAATAACTCATAAGACAAGCCTCTCAACCAGAGGTCACTCTCAGTGAATCTCATTAAAACACCAAAGCATGATGCAGTCATTGATTGCCATGTCTGATATCAGGGCACCCATAAAATCAGCCGGGAACAGAGCCCCTGGCATAACCTCCAGATCCAGTGTCTGAAAAGCAGGACAAGGATGACCCCAAAGCTGCAAACAAAAAAATACACAAGAAAGCACACAGGAAACACACATTTTGCTTTTTTACAGACTAATAATAGCACAGATGATTAGGGAACTATTCCCAAGACTGTCACTTTTCATAAATATTAATATAAACAAAGAAATCACATAAAATCAACTTTTTTTAAACCTTTTGAGATGGAGTCTTGCTCTATCACCAGGCTGGAGTGCAGTGGCTCAATCTTGGTTCACTGCAAACTCCGCCTCCCAGGTTCAAGTGATTCTCCTGCCTCAGCCTCCCAGGTGACTGGGACTACAGGCACGTACCACCATGCCCAGCTAAGTTTTTGTATTTTAGTAGAGATGGGTTTCCCCATGTTGGCCAGAATGGTCTCAATCTCCTGACCTTGTAATCCTCCCACCTTGGCCTCCTGAGGTGATGGGATTACAGGCATGAGCCACCGCGCCTGGCGAAAATCAACTTTAAACTTACATGTTTAAAGTTTAAATGTTTAAACACTCTCTCACACATAGTTTACAGGAGTAAGTCTAATTCCCATGAATCCTTCCTTTTTAAAGCAATGAAGCAAAGAATTTTTCGGCTCTTACCATTTCTACTTCTAATATGTATGCAGCATCCTAGAGGTTGACACTGAGGGGAATTTGCTAGAATCAGTTCTATTTCAGAAGGCTCTGCTGAGCCCCTACTATATGCAGACCCAAGGCCACTGGGGACACAGGGCCATCTTTTTACACATTCTGGCAGAGAGGACAGGTTAATTCTATCAAAGGTCCCAAAAAAACACAGTCATTTAAATATACACTGCTAAGCAAGCCAATAAAAATTAAGTAAATAAAGTATGTCAAAATTTTACTTACACTTCCCGCCCAAACTTCAGGCGATCCTCTTGCCAGTTTATAGTAGACATATACAGGGTCACCTTTTTTAAAATTCACAAAACGACAATCTGGGCCTGTGAAGTCTTCTAGAGCTTCACCCCGGTACATTAACACTGTATAAAAAGAGAGAGGAAAAAATAGCCAGATTATCAAGATTCAATGTTCACAGTCCATATTGATTTATCAGGAAATAAAAGAATCCCAATATAAATAACAACCAAGTTTTTCCAGTACTCTGGAATTTCTTTTATTTGCTCAAAGTATCTCAAATCCTTAGAGCTTTACTGCCATAAATCATATCTTCTGCAAGTAGACAGAGGAAAGGAAAACCTTCTCTATTTTTCTCTATGGATAATACTGAGAAACAGAAAGCAATGTGTCAACTACCACACATGGCTTTTCTTACCCAAGTGAAACTCTTGATTCCCTCTAACTTTCTAGTTCCTCAATCTTTTCTGTTTCATTTTCATAAAAAGCTTCCTTTTACAAATTGGTAAGTGCAAGCCCAGATGATGATGAGCTTAAACATGGCTACGTGAAGAGGTAATAGGGACCAGAGTACCCAGGAGCTCCCAAGAGGCCAATTAACTTGAACTAACCATTAAACGTCTCTACCTTCAAGTGGCTGTAACCGCTACTATGTAGCAGTAAACACTGTCAATTTCACTGGCAGCCAAGTTGTTCTCCCTGTACAGTGTCTGGATAGATTAATGGAAAAAGATATCTATCACACCCTACTATAGATTCAATTACATCACAAAGCAATATTTTCTGAAAGTAAATAATGTTGGCTGCATCTAACATTAAGAAAGTTTCAAAACAAAGAAAAAATACCTTTATGTATATGTTTCTATAAACAAAATCAAAAATCGACATCTCATGTGGCCAGGACTAAGCAAATTATGAGAATCGGTCAGTAATTCCCTTCATGCTTAAAATGCACGCTTAAATCATGCTTGATCTAGAAACTGTAAAGCAATACTTTTCTTTCTGTGGCCACATAAACAATTTCCCATGTAAGACGAAATGGACAATAACTATATTTAAATAGCAGAGACAACGAAGGAAAATGGAAATAAGACTTTTTCCAAAAGCCAATTTGCAATAAAATACATTTAAAACGTGTCTTTAAATGGCTATACAAACATATAGATTTGGAGGGAGTTATTTGTTTTTTGAAGATAGACTGATTATTTTCCAACATGTCAACTTTGTAGTTCAGACATTATTGAGTGAGAGGCCAGGTTTAAGGAGATGGACAATTTAAGATTGGGAATAAGATCAAAATTGGAAATGGCAGTGTTTTTCTTGCTCTCCCTTAGAATAGATCATAGAGGACTTATAATAACATATCAGAGGCCAACGTAAAAGTGGAACAGCTATTTGAAAAGCACACAAGGACACTGTACACACTCATATTACAAAACACTTTATACGACACAACACAGACCCATCTAGACGTTGCTCCTGTTGATGCCTGTTATATTTGGTTTCCTCTGCTTGAACCATTTCTCAAGTTATGTTACAACCGTGAGCTCTTCTAACATCAGGCCTCAGTACTGAAGAAGCATCAGTGATTTGACGATTCTCCAGGTAACCCGTTTTGATGAACCCAGGCAGGGCCATGCTTGCAAGCAAAGAATACCAACTATCTTACCATCCAACAGCAAATGGATAACGGCCAGGTTTTGCTCCAAGAAAACTAAAGGGAAAAATCATGGCAGTTGTTCCGCTTTTGACAGCTTATTTATATCAACCACAGGGCTACCTCTAGGAATGGCTTCACACTCATTAGAGATCTCTTTTCTTGATTAATGTTGTAGAGATACAGACAGTTCAAATTATGAAATTTGGTTTTGATAACAAATTTGAATATGAATAGCTAAACTATAGGGTTCTTGGCCTTTCTAAAATGAATACTTTTCTATAGGCATTACTTAACAATGTATGAAAAGCCATTTCTGCAGTGGTTGTTAAGTTACAAGGTTGTTTGAACCAGCTGAAAGGCTCTAAGAATGATCCTGATTCGGGGAACACATAGAGTAGAGGTTTCAACACACAAGTGGCTAAGTCTAAACCTACCTTGGCTTTTAAGACCCTTGGGGTATTTATTATCATTCCTGTAATAACCCTCTTCATCTAAGCCTGAAGATCACCCCACCGCCCACCTCCAATCCCGGACTGGAGAGCAATTCCGTTTCCTGCGCACAGAAGAGGAGGCTGCCGGTCCCAGGTGGCCGGTGCAGATCCTCGGCCTCTTTGCAGAGCAAAAGCTTTTGGTCTTCCTGCTGCCCTGCCTAGCAGTCTGCAAAAAGGCTTCCAAGCACAGAAATGACAGGACTGATCAAAGTCGGGGTAGAGACCTCGGAATACAATGGGTGCTTGGACTCTGGACTCGTCCCAAACCTAAACTCCCAATTCCTGTTCAAAAGGCTGTATGAGCCCAAATCCCAATGAAGCAAAAGGGCAAAGGGGCAGCCCCAGAGAGCCTTTCCAGAGAAGCCCCACCATCAACCTGCCACTGGGAAAACGCCCACCGAGCCCTTAGCGCATCTGCCTGGGTACTGCACCCGCCGAGGTCCCCGCGGCGAGTGCAAGAAAGCGTTTGGCTGCGGCGTGGGGAGCCCAGTCCTGCAACACGCAACCACATCTGCCCTCGGAGCCCAGGTGGATGGGGGGTGGGGAAGAGACGCTGTGAGCTACTTCTGGGGAAACCAGGGACCACTGCAAGCAACCCCCGCGTCTCAGCAGAGGAAAATAAAATGCTGGCAACAAGTGGGAGGTGCAGCCCCCACGGTCAGGCCCGAGTGGCTGGGTGCCCGCAGAGCCTGAGAAGGCAGACACAGGGACCCGCAGCCAGCCCACCCCCGCGTCCCACCCGTCCCGCTTGCGACCCCCGAGCTGGCCCGCTGGGCTGCCAATCTCCAGCCCCCACACAACCCGGGCGGTGCCTCCGCGGAGACCCCGGGGCCAGCCGCCTCGCAGGCTCACTCACTGCTGCATTCGTCGTCGGCACAGAGTTTGTGCTCCGAGAAGCGCCGGCCAGTGCTGGGGTCCTGCTGGCCCGGCACTCGCCACGGCGGCCCGAGCACGAGCAGCCAGAAGAGCAGCCCAGGCGCCGCAGCCATGTTGTGGTCACCTCGGGGAGCCGGTGACGCGGAGGAGGAGGCCGGGGGCGGAGCACCGGGGGCGGGTGGGAAGCCAGGCGCCGCCGAGGGGCGGCGCCCGGGAAGGTCTGAGCAGTTCCTGACTGACACGTCAGCAGGGGCTTTAAGAGGGATGCGGGGGATCTCCAGGAGGGCTGAGGGCGACCTCCAAGAAGAGGACTGGCAGCCTCACTCTGAAGTCTGTTCCTCTGGTCGCTGCCTTGGCAACGGAACTCTTGCTTGTTCTCCCTCACCCAATCACCTGCCTTTGCCCCAGTCCCTCTCAGAACCTCCGCGTGACTCCATTCGTTGCTCACCCTTCTCTGCGCGCTTGGGTCCCCCAATGCTGCGCTCCCCAACCCTGTGCCAGACATTGGATAAAGCATCCAGGGTGGTGTGGGAGAGGGCCTTGTCTAAGAAGTCCACGACTTAGTGAAAACCAACTGACACAAAAACGACTAAACAATAAATGTCAGAGCAGGGAAAACTAGTTAATAGCAGCTAACATTTATGGAGTGCTTTATGCCCAGTTGTTATTCTAGGGTCTTTATATGTATAAATTAAATTAATTTAATCTTCACAACAATAGCACCTTACAGTAATAGGTACTATTTTGAGCCCCATTTCAGAGAGGAGTACCTAAAGGCATTCAAACACCTAGTGAGTGATGAAGCTAAGATTCAAATGCAGGTAGTATGCTCCTTTTTAATCACAACTCTGTAAAGCCTCCATCAAACGACAAGCAATTTTTGTACTTTCTTTCTGAGTAGGGGAGGAAAATCTTGTTTAAATCATACTATAACTGGATTATTTATATGTGCAATTAAAAAGGGGGTGGGGTCAGCCCAGGGAAGAGTAGCTACAATGCTTCAGCCCTGATTGAAGAACTTGGCATTTGTCTGTGACCAGGAGTTTCTCCTTGCAATGTCTAAGGTTATTCATCAACCTTAAACAACAAACTCAGCAGGTAGTTTCTCAAACAAATCATATTACTTAAAAGCAAGAAGAAACAATGTGGCTCGTCTGTGCAATCCATTATATTGAATAAGGAAAAAATGGTAAACAGATGCTCACACATTTTTGTCTGCAGGAGCCGTAAGACATTGGGCCAATGTAATTCCAGTGCTGTCCAGAGAAAATATACATTTGGTAAGGTCATGGACAAGCACTTTCCATCCAAGTAGTAGTTCCGTTCATTCTTCTTTTCTACTGTGCATTTATTTGTTTTAATATCTTAGATGTCTCTAATAGGCATCTCTAACAACATGTTGAAAACCAAATTCTTATTTATTTTTTTTCTCAAACTCTGTTCCTTTCAGTCTACCCTATCTGAGATAGGAATAAGAATGACAATTTAATTCCTATTTTCTGGGTGCTCAAGCCAAAAACATACAAACCATCCTGACCTCTTTTCTGTCACACCCGAGTCCAATCCATCGGACAATCCCACGTCTTTTTTTTAAATAGGTTTATTGAAGTATAATTAACCTACAATAAATTGCACGTTTAAAGTGTACGATTTGATAACTTTTGACAGAAGTCTACACCCATGAGACCATTACTACAATCAAGATAATTATAATTAATATATGCATCACCTCTGAAAGAGTTCTCATCCTTTATAATCCCTCCCATCCTTCTCCCAGCTGTCTTCAGACAACCTTCTGTCACTGCAGATTGGTTTGCATTTTCTAGAATTTTATATAAATGGGCATACAGTATACATTCTTTTTTTTTTTTTTTGTCTGACTCATTCAGCATAAACATTTGAAATACATTCAGAATCTGACCACTTTGGCTGGGTGTGGTGGCTCACGCCTGTAATCCCAGCACTTTGGGAGGCCAAGGCGGGCGGATCACCTGAGGTCAGGAGTTTGAGACCAGCCTGGCCAACATGGTGAAACACTGTCTTAATGAAAATAAATTTAAAAAAAGTATCTGATCACTTCTCCCCATCTCCAGTGCCAGCAGTGCAGGCCAGGCCACCCATCTCTCACCTGAATAACTGCACAGCCTTGTCATTTTCTTGCTTCTGCTCTTAGCCCTTCCAAAGTCTCTTGCCTCAATAGTAGCTACAGCAATAGTTTTATGAGATAAATGTGGTCATGTCTCTCCCCTGCTCAGAACCTTCCTGTGTCTTCCCATTTTCAAGTAAAATGCAATTACTTTTTAGTGGGTACACTGTCTTATTGAATTACTCCTTTCCCCTTTTACCCTCATTTCCTAACACTCTTCCCTTGCTCTGTTGGTTCCAGTCAAATACACCAAGCCTAATCCTGCATCTGTGTATCTGCACTTGAAATTTTCCCTCAACATGGAATAATTCCCCAAATAGTCTGCTTGGCTAACTAGTTTCCTGACTTCATTGTGTCTCTGTAACAGTGCCATGCCTTACAAGTGAGGCCTCCCCTGATCACCCTACATAAAACAGAGTTCCTTCTCATGACTAGCTGGCTCATTACCCTGCTTTATTTTTTCTTTAGAGCATTTACCACCTGCCTTATGTTTATCTACGTTACTGCCACTACACATCCAATATAAGCTCCATGGAAGGAGGGGATTTGTCTGTTTTGTTCACTGCTGTAATATTGGTGCCTAGAACAATGTCTGGAACATATGAGGTACTCAACAAATGATTTGTTGAATAAGCCCATGGATCTTCACATATTGTAGATATATTATGCTATTAACCTAAATAAAGCTTCCATATATGAATAATACCAAGAGGGAATATACCAAAAAAATAAGGCATTTGATGTCTTCCCCTCAGCAACATCCTTAACACCAAGAACAGAACCTGGAATGTATTTACTGTTGAATGAGGGTGTATTTATTGAGAAAGGAATGGATGAAATAGCACATACTTTTTCCTTATATACTACCAGAATATTAAAGCAGATTTAAAACATGATTTTAATTTATCTTATTTCTCCTTAGATTAGAATAACAATTGATGAAAAAAACAAAATTCCAAAATGATCGAATTGAATATTACTTTACAAAGTAAATAATATCTACTTTGACTAATATTTAGATATGCTTTCTTTTTTTTTTTTGGAGATGGAATCTCACTCTTCTTGCCCAGGATGGGGTGCAATGGCGCGATCTCGGCTCACTGCAACCTCCACCTCCTGGGTTCAAGCGATTCTCCTGCCTCAGCCTCCCAAGTAGCTGGGGTTACAGGCACGCACCACAACGCCCAGCTGCTTTTTTGTACTTTTAGTAGAGACAGGGTTTCACTATGTTGGCCAGGCTGGTCTCGAACTCCTGACCTCAGGTGATCCACCCACCTCAGCCTCTCAAAGTGCTGGGATTACAGGTGTGAGCCACCACTCCTGGCCCTTAGATATGCTTTTATATGACAGGTCAGAGCTCTCCATTACTGAAGAACTAGCTACTTAAATGTGTAGATTTTATAGAGTCTTGATGTATCTACATTTTTGAAAAAAAATATTTTCTTATAAAGATATTAACAAGCCTGGCGGATAATCAATCAGAAGACAGTTCTCAGCCGACCACAATGAAGTTGTTGTGGTGGTTCTTCCTCCTAGCATATGTGTGTGTGTGTGTGTGTGTGTGTGTGTGTGTGTGTGTGTGTAATTAGGGGATGAATCAGCATTCATTTTTACTCATAGAATTTGAATATGTGGCACTGAGGCTTTACATAAACTCTAATCCTATGTGTATTATTTGGTAACACCTCAAATGGAGTTTTAACTGGGTAAAGATTGAGTAAGAGTTAAAAATTTGTCTAGTTTTGGGTGTTGGATACATAGAAATATAAGATTGGAGGGTTTTTGACCTCAGGGAATTTGCAGTCTAAATGAGAAAACAAGAGAAATATATCTGAAACAAATAGGAGACATCATAATAATATATATCATTGTAAACCTGCCATGATGTGTAGCTGCAAATATCCAGAAGGTTTAACACTGAAGTTACCAGTAAGAACCTAGTCTATTGCCAATGATGAAATCACTGAGTGTTTACAGAATGTAGTAAAACATTTATTGAGGACTATAGCTGCCATCCAAGATGGAGTAACAGGGACAGGATTTACCCTTTTATATTAAACATCTAAAAAATTGGGCAAAATATATTAAATGTTTTCAGACTTGGACAATAAGCAAAATAGAACATTAATCCCTAAGACAAAGTTGAGAGATGAGATGAGTACTATGATTGCCCTCGCTTACTGCCTGGAGAGTTTCCAGGACATAGCCAGGAAAGAGAAATTCAAATAGGGAATCTTCTTGAATTAAATAAACAGATTTAAGAGTTTGAGGGAGCCAATGTAGCTAGAATTTGCAGGGCAGAGTCCAAGAGAGAAAAAGAAAGCTTCATGGAGAAGACAGAATTGTACAGAGAGAGTCCCAGGGATCTACAGAGGATTTCCTTCAAGTCTTCAACTGAGTAACAATAAGCATATGTGTGTGAGGAACTAGCTGATGCCAGGAAAAGAACACCAGGGAGGAGTGGAAGAGACAATTGTCAGAGTGCAGGACAGTTTGCATTATCACCAGCCAGAGTAGAAAACTGTAATAAACAGGACATCAAGTAAAGTATTCAGTAAAGGGGAAAAAGAAGCCCAAGATTAAAGGCTACCCTGGTCCTGCCTAACAAAATTTGAAAGCAAGCCTTGAAAAGATCAAAATGCTTCTAAGTAAATTAACTGCATCCCAGAATAAAGCTCTAGCATATTTAAAAGAATACAAAAATATCTAACACTCAACAAGGTAAATTCACAATGTCTGGAATGCAGTGAAAAACTATAAGGTATGCAAAGAAGTAAGAAAATGCAACCCATAATGAAGAGAAATCAGTCAATAGAAATGATCAAAAATGACACTAACGATGAAATTACTGCACAAGGGTATGAACAGAGTTATAGTCCATATGTTCAAAATGCTACAGAAAAACATACATATGTAAAGGACAAAAAAAGAAGATATAAAAACAATTGAATTCAACTTAGGGAGATGAAAAAAACCAATGTCTAAGATAAAAAAATACACTGGATAGGATTAACAGAACATTGTATACTACGGAAGACAATATTAGTGAGCTTGAAGTAGCAATATAAACTCTTCACGAGGTATGAGCTAACAGATGTACAAAACAAAAAAGAAAAGCAAAAATTTTAGAAAAGAAAAA